AAAGAGTGAGGCATGGAGGGGCCAGCCAACCCATCATCCCTGAAATCACAAATATGACCCTAACACCCCCCTACTCCAGCCTTCCGTGGCCCGAGGGCAAAGTGCGAACTCCAAAGCTTGGCACCATGGCACTGAGACCCCAGAGATTCTCTGCCCTTGAGCCCAAGAGAACAAAAAATTGCAGGCCTGTGCCTTAGCTGACTTCCCCTCTGGAATGCCATCTCCCCCAGGACAGGGCCTGCAGGGTTCAGGTCACAGGCATGCGACAAAGCAGATGTCAGAGTCCCCGGCACACCCTGAAACTTCAGATTTCACATCTCCACTGGACCCAGGCCAGTGGTTCTCACAGTGAGATCTGGGGAACCCCTAAGCTTGAATCCCACAAAGAAATTTGTTTTTCTTTATTAAAAAATAAGGCGGGGTTGGGGGGAGAGAAGACATGAGAGAGAATAACATGGGGCTTTCAGGAGAGAAGAATGAGGCAGTCTCAGGCTCTTCCACCTGGCCTCCAAGTGCTGCCCAGGTAGGGCCACCTCCCAGGCCCAGCTACCTAGAAGGAAATGGAACCTGCGCCCCCCATTCTTTACCAGCTCTTCTGGCCTGGAGGGGAAGGCAAAAGAGATGTGCCCCACCCATATAGCCTGCACAATGAGCACCCAGCTTAGAAAGTCCCCTTAGGTGCCCCCAACCATGCACTGCCCGCAGAGGGCCAGCCCCCTACCCCACAACGCCCTCACAGCACAAGCGGTCTCCTTAGACAGACACAGGAACAGAGAGACAGATTGACTCCCACACAGGCACAGAGCTGGGTGCACTCAATCCTGGGACATCCCAGCAGCTCTTCCCTAGGTTCCTCAGCCCCTAGGCAGGGAAGAGGGGCTTGTCAGAGTGACCCTCCCTAGATCAGGTGGCTCGGATGAGCATCCTGGGGAAGAGGGACAGAGACGGGGGCCAGGGACCAGACTGCCCTGATCTCACCCAGCTTGGAATAGACTGAGAGCAGAAAGAGAATAGTCAACCAGAGGCAGAAAAGGGCCCCAAGAGGTAGAAGGGACTGAAAGAGAGACTTCTGGAGGTGAGCAGAAATAGAAACTGCCGTCAAGAGGTCAAGACGGTGTTTCTGGGAGAGGCCGGGGTGGTTCCTGTGGGCAGAGCTCGCCATACCTTCTGGCCAGCCTCGGAGTTGAGGCTGCCTGCATGTATCCAGTCCCGCTTTGGCTCCCAGGGGTCATGCACAGGTGGAAGCCCTCGCTGGGCCATCTCCTCTGTGCAGGTCAGCTGCCGCCGGCGCAGCTCCTCGTCCGTCTCCTTGTCCACCACCAACAGCTGAGTCTGCCCTTCCACAGCCTTGATCCTCTGCACCACCTGGGACAGGCAGGTGGTGGTGGGTAAGCAGCCAGCTCTCTGAGCAGCACATGGACAGTGGCACCACCCAAGACTGGCAGGGCTCGTGGGTAGGCGGCTGGCCTACCAGGGGTGGGCAGCTGGACTGAGAGGCCTGCCAGCTCCACCCCCCACCCCCGGGCTCCAGCAGCTCACTCCTTCCCCTCCCAGGGCTCCTGACACTAGGGCCCAGCTGCACAGGCCACAGAGGGGTCCCCAGGCTTCAGGTCAGGATCTTCAACAGGAGGGGCCGGGAAGGTGGGTGAGGCAGCCTGTATGGAAGTGACAACAATGGTACACAGCTGAGTTTCAGGTTTTCCGCGTGCTAGTATGTGCGGCTTGCATGTGTGCCCATCCATCTATTTCAAGGTCTGTCCTCAGTCTGGGTTTGAGAGAGGCGTCTCCCTGGGTGTCATCCTGGGTGTGTCTGTGCCCATTTCTGTCTTCAGTGGTGGAGCATGTAATTCTATACCCCTGCCTTCACGCCCTCCGTTCAATACAGAGCATGAACACAGACCCATTTCTGCTGTGCCGGCAGAGGGTGTAAGTCCTGGGTCTTTGTGGCAAGGCACCTACTTGGGTACCACACATGACTTGATAAGCAGGATTCAGAGCCAGCAGGCGGAGGTGGGGAGGGGCAGGTCCAACTGTGGGACAAGTGTGGCATGTGGCCATCTGTGTGTCTATGCAGGTGCCTGTGAAGTATCTAGAGCACGTGGGTGGCCATGGGGCATGCACACCAGTTTATGCCCTGCAGAGAGGAGAAGTACCTACTGCGCATTGGGGAAGGAAGGATAACACCCCCACCCCCAAAGGAGGGCAGATGGGGTTGCTCGCCACCAGCTGCCTGGCAAAAGTTGTCAACAGAGAGGAGGGTCTGAACCAGGCCCATCTTCTCCCAGCATCCTCAGTCCCTCCTCTCCTGGTGACTCTGAGAGCCACAGCAGGACCCCAGCAACTTGCTGCTTCCTGATTGTGGGATCCAAACAAAGTCACCCAACATCTCCAAGCATCAGTTTTTTAATCCGTAAGATGGAGCTATAACTGCATGCCCTCTCTTTTGAGGCAATGGAAGGGTCCCACAGGGTCTTGTATGTGAAGTTCTTAGACTACCATCCAGAGGCCTGGGATAAAGGGGCAAGGTTGGCAATGACTGTTCAACAGAGGCCAGGCACCAGCTCTGTCAGGCTTCCCTGTGGCCTGTCAAGCCAAGCCCTCTGGCCCTGACCCTCTCCCTCCTTCAGCAAATAGCCTTATCAGGTTGAAATGCTGGGTGGGAGACAGGATAGCAGACAGATGGACAGATAAGAACCCAGCAGTAGAGCGGTGCTCAGCTCCCAACCCAGTCAAAGACCAGTATACTAATCTCTAGGGCCCACGGCTGGCCATACAAACAGGTCATGAATGCAAAGGTACTTGGCGGACACAGAAGATCCTAAGCAGAAGGAGTGGAAGGAGGCTGGATCTAACCCAGGTAAGTCTCCGGCCAGTGGAAGATTGACACCCCCAGGGGTCAGAACCTGCAGAGAGGAGACCCTGCCCTTCCTCGGGCCTTCATCTCCAGCTGCAGGAAGCAGGGGGCTGCAGCTGGTGATCCCTGCAGGGCCAGGCAGCCTCCAAAGAGAGGAATGTGCTGCCACCAGCAGTGACTCCCACCAGGACCCAGACAGTATCAGCCAAGGCATACAACACTACACTGACGACAACACACAGCCAGGCAGGTAGACACACACAGGCCTGCACACACACACACACACACACGCACACACACACACGCACACACACACATACAGGGCACAACTCACACACACATCTAGATGTGTAGACCTGTATGTTTTCACACACACAACGAAGTTCACGTACACACATCTAGGCATGAAGATCTGTCCACACACACAAACCCAGGGTGCAGACGGGTATATTCACATACACAGTCCAGCACACATACACACTCACTGATGCAAGCACAGACAGATGTGTGTGCACATGGGTGACCACTCAGAGGGAACTGCACATTCACACACACCCAGTTTTGTACACATGCAGAAAGCACCAAGGGTCTTCCCCCGCACGGAGACGCCCCCAAGGTGTCGGGATCTCCAACACTTGGTACATTGAGACCAGAACAAGCCTGAAGAGCAAGAGCCAAGTTGAGAAGCCGCAGTGCGGGCTCCTCCCTGCCAGGATCCCCCCTCCGTGGTGCAGGACAGAGCTTCCTGGCGGGGGTGTGGGGGTGCTAAGGAGGAGGCCGGCGGCCGCTGTCTTCGTGGCTACTACGTCTACCATCTCCAGGAGGGGAACACGCAGGCCCTGGGAAGACCCCCTCCTGGCCCCGAGCAGGGAGCTAAGGCCTGGGCGCAGGCAACGCCGGGCTGAGTGGTCGTTGGCTCTATTCCGCGAGCGCGGGGTGGGGACACGCTCCCGCCCGGGCCGGGACCGGGCGCATGCACCCACCTGGTGGTGCGTCTCACCCTCCACGTTGACGCCGTTGACTTCGACCAGGCGGTCTCCCGCGCGCAGCGCGGCTGCCTCGGCCGGGGAGCCGGGCTCCACGCGCCGGATGAACTGCCCGCGGCGGCCCTTCTCGCCGTGCAGGTGGAAGCCGTAGCCTTGCTCGCCGCGCACCAGGCAGCACAGGCGCGGCC